CGCTGTGCGTCGATGTATCCAGTTTTGATGTAGTGGCGTATTAATTGGTTCAGGTCCTATATTTAAAATTAAATTTGCTGTTACTGCATTTAAATAATCTTCTACAGAATATTCAGGGTCTGTTCCTGTGAAAACCATTAAGGGTTTGTTTGATGTTATTGATGATCCACCCATAAGGTATGGATTCATTGTCATTTGTAATGATTCTGCTGCATTTGGCATTTGTGAAAAATTAGAAATGTGATTTTTTGTTATTTCGTGTTGTTGAAGATAATATGGAAGTGGTATTTCATTTTGCATTTGTGTTGGTTGATATGAGTGTGTAATCATTGGGTTTTGTGGCTGAATTGGTTGAATGGATTGTGTATTAATTGGGTTTTGCATTTGTATTGGTTGTTGATTTTGTGTATCTATCTGGTGTGGAGAAAAATTTCTATAATGTGTATATGGTTTCTGCATTCCTTGTCCGCGATATTCTTGGGTATATGGTGCAAATATATCTGGTTGTAAATGATCATCATCAGAGGATAGATAATCCAATTGATGAGATGCTTGTTTTTTATTTTTATTTTGTTGAAAGAATGGGTAATTTTCGCTATAATCCTGTGGAGGATGTGGATTAGCTTGAAAATTTACTGAATTGGTTGTTGCCATTGGATTATTCCAATATCGAGATCTGATTTGATTATCATTATTATTTCGTGGAAGATAGTTTGTTTTTGATGGATGTGTATAATTATAATTATGTTCCGCAAAATTGTTTCTTGTGAACGTTCTGCGTGTTTTTGACGGTATTGTCATGGGTCTATATGTTTGGTAATCCATTTGTGAATATTTTGGAGCAACGGAAGGTTTAACAGTTGATTGTAAGGTTACCTGTGTTAGTGAAGTGTTTGTATTTCTTGGTGTTGTTAAATTTGGACGTATCGGTGAAATACTTTGTTGTGTAGTTGTTGTTGTTTGGACCATTTCTTCATTTATGAAGTGTGATGGTGTCTGAATATCTTGTTGAGTGAGATTCCTAGTTCCATTAAGGTTTTCATTGTGTATTACGGTCGAATTTAAACTGTTATTTCGGGTATCAGGTAAAATGTATTGTAGTTTAATGGTGTTGCATCAATGGTTAATGGTACTACTCTTACATAATCTCTTATATAAGATATTGTACTTATTGCTTGGCTTGCAATTGATTGTGGGATATTTATAAATGCATAATGAGACCATTCGGGGTCCCAAACGTAGTCTGACTGTTCTGTGATGGCGGTATCATCGTTTGAATTTTGAGGTCTAAAATTTTTTCTTGCTTGCGAAATTAAATCTAGATTATGTGTGAAATAATCTATTATAAACCATGCCAAGATTTTTTGTAAGTCATGTTTTGTATGTTGTGAAACATCATCTTTAGTGAAATTTTCTTTAATTATATTTAGGAAAGATGAAAGTAGTGTGATTTCATGTCGTACCCTTATATGTTTGGATGTCTCTGTCGGTGAGACATTTGAGATTGGTATTTCGTTTTCTAATATTGAGATATAACTATATATTATGGCAAAAACTTCATTAGTAAATATGGAGTTTGCTCTTTGTGAGTTATGATATTGTATGCTTTTTATATATTCTGAGAATACTTTTGAAAACTCTAAATCAAGGTCGTCTGTTTGAATTACATATTTGCGGTGATTCGGGTTTGGTGAGGTTAATTCTATGGTGTAGATTTCGTAGTGTTGTGTCAAATTACATATATCTTTCAGATAGTGATCAATAATTTGTCTTTTGATCTTTACATCTGGGAACTCTGCTGTACATGGGCTGATTCCGGGTTCAAATAAATTTAGTAGTAAATTCTTGCAAAGTATATGTTGTCCTCTATCAGTGGGTGCATCTACGATAAAGGGGAAGATATCATCATCATCTGGACTTTCTTCACCTGGGGTGTGTATTGAGCTCATTTTTTCGTTTGATGACTGTTAATATGTAATTATCAATGTGTCTAATTGGTTGATTCCAATTGTATAAATGTACTGGTTTGTGTTTATATTGCTTTTTTATTCTTCTTTTTCCTCTTTTTGATGAATTCGATGTTGTTTCTGAGTCGGAAAAATATAATTGATCGTGAATGGGGCAATTTTTATCTATAGATTCTTTTAATTTATAGAGTTCGTCTAAATTGTTGGCTTCTGATTCTGAAAATGCGTTTCTATTTTTGGAAAATCTTTTTCGTGTTATTTGTCTTTGTTTAGTTATTATTTTTCTTTTTAGTGTTTGTCGTTTTGTTCTAATATATCCAACTGTTTGTGTGTGGGGTGTGATTACAAGGTCGTATTTTTTGTTATCAATTTCACAGTTGTGCAAAACGATTGTTTGTTTGTTTCCTAGATTTTTAAATGTTATAAGGTTTAGGATGACGGATGCAAAAAGTTGTTAGATGATTTCTATTTTCTTAAATTGTTAGTCCTTACGATTTTTTGGTTAGCTTAACCTGGGTCTATTTGTTCAGGGTTGGAGAGAAAAGTATATCTATTCCGAAGAATGATTTTTACTTTCTCGTGGCTAGTATAAGCTAAGGTGTTAACTTACTTAATCTTACTTAGGGGTAGTGATTGTGTTCAAGATTTGGAGAATAGTAAATCGATCCACAAGGTTCAGGTATAATTAGAACGCGAGTAGTTCGTTAGGTATTATTTTAAACTTACTAAGTCTATGATTTATCCTGGGTCTTGATAAGAGGAGGGTTCAAGTGAAGGATGAATAACCGAAGTTTTTCACTGTTTATCCTAATTTGAATGGTTAGTTTTGTTGAAAAATTTCTATTAGTCTTGGGTTTTTTGAAAGGGTTGGATAGTGAATCGACGTTTGAGGTCGTTAGACACTAGCTAAGTGGGTGGGGGAGAACAAAATTGTTCTATTTGATCCAAGGATAGGCCTTGATGATCAAGTTTAAATTTTAACTGAATAGAAAATGAATTAAGATCCAAGGATAAGCCTTGATGATCTGATTTGAAAATAAAATGAATTTAAGTTTAAAATGGTTTAAATTTATTTAAGGAAAAGATTTAGTGTTTTAATGATATTAGTGAGTTTATGATTGCTGTTATGTTTTAGGTGATGAAGCTGAGACAATTGGGTGATTTACGATTACTAACAGTTTATTGTCATGCTACTAATTTTTATTTTGATTTTCAATAAATATTTTCCAAATATGTTTTTTATATAATACTGCAGAATTTTAGAAAAACGATCTGAGATCTTTTTATCAATCGTTATTGTATATTAATATTTTGTTTAGCGCCTGAAATGATCATGAAGATTGACTTCAAGATTTAAGTTTGCAAATGAAAATCTAAATTCATTGCTAATAAGATTCTAAAAATAAAAGTTTGTGTTGGCTTTTGCCGTACTATCATATAACTATTTGGTAAGTTTCTATTTTGTCGTATGTCGTCTCTGGTTCGAGGTCTTCTTCCAATTCCGGGTAGTTCTCTTATCGTTCGGAATATTGGCTTTGATCTATTGAGTCGTAGAGACATTTCGATTAAATTATTGTCGTGTAACATTTTAAAAATGTTTTGTCTAATTTCTAATCTATTTTTGGTTAATTCTAAGCTATTAAGGTCTTGTTCGAGACTTATGGTCGCACCAGATGAGTTATAACCGAGGCCGAGGTGGTTATCTCATAGAGTAATTTCGGATAGGGTACACCGTCTGCTCGTCACGCTATCTTATTTTCGGCCGGATAGATTCGTGCAACTTCTTAGTCTAATACCGATCCTAATCTTACTCTTATACTATCTAGTCTCAGGGTGTTTAACTAGTCTCTGCTAGGCTCAATAGATCTAGGGTATACTGGTTTATTGCGGCAGCTGAAGTCTTCTTGGAGAGTCAACTAATTTCTAAGTTAAATTCAAATCTCTCTGGTGCTGAAATTACAAGTAATTCCAGCACTTACAAATAAGTGGGTTGTTAGTTAGATGGATCATGATTGGTTAATATTAAATACTTTACAGTGGTAAAATATCTAATTTATCCAATCATAAAATGTAGTTTAGATCAGGTTCCAACAGATAATTGCTGCTCGAAAATGTTTAAACTAAATAGTTCTACTTGCTAAAAATCTCGTTGAGTGGAGAACTTGGGATTTAAATGTATTTTGATTGCAAAATAAGGCCCCATGGTCAAACAACAGAGTAAGGACATCACATTAATTTGGTAGTGATTTCAATTTCAATCAAAGCCAGTTTCTTCTGAAATGTTTAAAAAATTATTTGGAAATTGCTTAAAGCTGATGTTTTTAGGATTGATTTTCGAGCTTTTAATGTTAAAAACAGAATTATTTTAAGCGAAATCAGAGTTTAAAAATTTTATTTCGTAACGTTTGTCTATACTTTATTTACAACAAGGCTCATCCAAAAAATCTGGATCAAAACAACAAAAAGCTAATTTTTTTTAAAACTAGCTTTAAAGAAAACAAGTAATTTTCTAAAATTACATTACTAAGTTGTAGGTTTTCGTTGCACTCGAAACAAAAGGGTTTTGAAACTTCAGAAGTTGATTGGTTTTACATTAATTTGTTTGTGCAAACTAATACAAATTTAATTCAAAGTAAATTCATTTAGAATATAACGATATTTGATTTCAGCAATGGAGTTATTCATGGATCCTTTTTGACAAACAAGAAAAACTTGTTATTGTTGATTCTCAAACACATATTTTTGTTCTGTCTGAACCAGCGATGATGGTGACAACAGATTGTTGCAATGCTAATCAAATGAAATTAATCAGCTCAAAAAAGACGGTTACGTTGTCTATGCAATGAAACCTTTTCCGTTTTCAGATGCCAAAAAAACCTCTCGACTGGAACCAAAAAAAAACTTATTCTGGTGGTATTTACACCAACCGAAGTATCTAACAGCTGAAAATGCGTAAGTGTTATATAAAAGCTAAGCAATAATTAAGTAACAGTTACGAAGCTATGCAAATTTCATTCATATGATGTAACTTTTCGGCTGGCTTTAAGTTTTCTTTCTTCCATAAAGTAAAAACAATCGCTCTTCTTCATTATTTTAGAAAAAGCCGGATCATGTTCCAATTTAATGCTAAAAATAATAATATATAAAACTGCAGCTCAACATGTTGAGAATTTATAATCCAAAAAAATATTCAAAGCTTATATGAATTATTTTTCAGTTTTCAGCTGTTTTAAATACTGGTCCATCAAATGAACACTGGCACTCAACATGACTGAAGCTCTGGTGAGTTTCGGATACTCTTCGGGGGTCGTGACTTTGCTGAACTTGCTCTTCGTCTCCTGTATAGCACTCTTCTTCCTACTGATTCGTCTTTCTAGCCTAGACTCGTTGGATGTGGATTTGAGCTGGTCAATTGCTATCCAATCATCAAGAGTGTCATTCTCAGACTGTCTGAATAATAAGAACAAGATGATTAATTACAGATGATTTTTGATTTAAAGCCTTTGATGTGAAATTATGAGTCACAAATACATTTGTTGCCTGCATATTTTGAAGAGCTTACAAAAGTCTTTTCCAGCTCAAAATTAGCTTCAGAAGTTTATTTCACCCAAGCTTAACGTTTTGCTAGTTTGAAAGTTGGTACAGCAGAAAAAAAAGATTCTGGTTTTATAATTAAAAACAGAAGCTAAGTTGACAGTTTTGGCCGTATAGCAGAGAAAGCTCTCTTTAATCTATAAAACGAAAAAATGCAGTTCATCAGAGAAAAAAAAAGATAAAGACAACTCTCAAAACGCGCCAATTCGAGGGTAACTTTTTACCATCACAAATCGCAAGAAAAAAAATGTTCACTAGATTATTAAGAATTCTCAAAAAGCTGTCAATTGAATAAACAAATTTCAAAGCATTCGTTTAACTTTACGTTTATTTGATTATGGCTTTTATTGGATTTAGTTAAATTCACGACAAAGAAAATCAACTTGCGTGCGATTGCTGAAAAAATAATTGATATCATATCGAATGTAAGAATTTCTCAATGGGGGTTTTGGGAAAATCTCACCTTTCTTGTTTATAATCCCTCTTAATTAACTTCTTATTCGTGGCAAAATTCCCGACTGTGAAATCTTCAGGCACTTTCCCACTTTTGTGTTGCAACCTCTCGTAAATATTACCATTTCTTCTCTTATGCAGCGCTGTTGTCGACAGACGCTCCGAGACGGGACCTGCGAAGTCGGAACGTCCGACAGGGCTGACCATTTTGATGTCGGCGTTTGCGGTCTGGATTCCGCGATCGTCGGCTATGACGTAATCAACGGTGGGTGGCTGCGGGTCGACTGCGGCGTCAGCGAAACTGTTCTGTGGGCGAAGAGTGCGGCTGGTTTTTGGATTTTCCGGCTCAGGAACTAATGGAAAAAAAGATGTGAATTATTTTTATTCGAGACTTGAGCCTTCTTTTTAATAGTCAACCTTTTAATCAGATAACAAAGACTCTCAAAAAAATTCTCGTGAAACTTTTTTCATATTTTAAAAAAGGTAACAATAAGCAAACTTTTAAATCCAACAAAAAACTATCATGCTGATTCCTGGCCTAAAAATTTAACCATTTCCCATTTAGAACGTTTTTTAATCAGCAAATGAAGACTGTCAAAACTCAGGTGAAACTTTTTTCTACATTTTTGAAAAAATAAAAAACGACCCTTGAAACCCATCATAAACTACTATGTAAAACCTAACAAAAATTCTCACCTGGGTTGCTCATATTGAGATCGGGCCGCGTTTCATATTGTGGAATAGAGGGTTGGGTTCTGGGGGGCTTAGGAGACACGAAATTCCTCCCTCTAAAGGTACTTGAACTCTTCAACCTAAGCGACTTGTGACTCTTAGCCGACATCTGGCGTAAGCGATTGGGCGATGGCGTGTTCGGAAGGCCTTGTTCGGCTAACCGGGCTTCGTAATTTCTGATATATTCATTGCTCAACTCAACTCGTCGAATTCGTTTCAGATCTTGGTCGCTGTATTCGACGGTGTAAATCGGTTTTCCGAAAGGATTTCTTTTCTCGGAGTGCTCGTGAAAAGATGCCGACTGAATTTTAAGTATAGGTACTCTGGGTCTCGGGTGTAAAACCGAAATGAAACTCGGCTCTCGTGGATCGCCGACATTTTCCAAATATGGAAGCGGTTTTTTGATTACATCAAACTTCAAGTTTTCGCTTCGGTACAAAGACGTGTTTAACATAGTTATAATTTTATTTTTTATCTAAAACTTAATTGAATTTGTTTGTTATCACAGTTTGAACGGCTTAAACCAGTTTTACTGTGTTATAAAAATAAATACAAGAGTTCACAACTGTGTAAATGGTTCTTCATAAGTATTCAAAAAGAATGTGGTTTGGTCTTTATAATAAGCTGTAGATTTGATATTAGACGACTTTTCAGATTGAGTTTAATGAAAAATTCACGGAGCGTTAAGTGATTTTCAAGCTCGACTAGATTCATACAAAGCAGAGAATACTGTTTAAGGCACTTTATGATTAGCATGAGCAGATAAAAGTATGATTACTCAGGTGTTTTTATTTGATTATGGTTCGGATCTAGTTAAATTCACAACAAAGAAAACCAATCTGCATCTGATTGCTGAAATAATGATAGACATGAATAGTTTTGGGCTAAGTTTTTCTAACATTCAGTAAAGAGAACAAGACTATAGCCAAAAGCTATTTTGTATTCATAGCTTTTCAGTTTTTTTTTCGCTTATTTGGAGCTGCAAGCTTTTTTGCTACACTTAGGTAAAGCAGAAAAAACCCTGCTCGGAATCTTTTAACACGGTAGTGGTTACGACAAGTCTGGTAACTGCGCAATTGAAAACGAAGTTTTGAAAAAAAATTTGCAAAAATGAAAAATGCAGTTTTTTTCTCAGAAAGATTCTAGAAAAATAAGAAATACTTAACTAAACTGGTTTTGAATCCAAATTTGAAGCAAGCGACGGAATATTTTTGCTCGTTGTGTCTTCCTTCAGAATAACTTTGTTTAATAACTATCTCTTTCGTGTTTTTCATTAACTTCGTTCTTTAACTAACTCTTTCGGGCGTTTTTTTTGATAATCTGAAAACTATCGCAGCTCAAATTAAAAATTTATTTAAGCTGCGAACAGTTTTAGTGAAGTTATGTGTGTTTGAAAAAGTTGCGGTAATTAACGCACGATTTATTTTGTGCTGAAAATGCGTGAGCAGCGAATCATTTCGGCTTTGAAATGTTCCGAATTGAAACAAGACAACCTAATTGGTCCTATAAATACGTTACTAGACGGTTAAAATATTTTTCTGTATTACTCATTGGATTTTTTTAAACAAAATTTCAAAATTTCAGTAAATTTTTTGATATCAAAAACTACTTTTGAAACCGATCAAATTAACATCCTTCATCCCAGCGTTCATTTTAGTTTAAATATACTAAGCGCTGCATGTAAAATGCACTATTCTGATTGGCTGAAAATTCGAACTCAGTGCCAAGTTAACATCCTCCCCCCTAAACGGATTTGGGGGGGGGGGGGGTGTTAATTTGGTCCTTTGAAACGTTCAAGGCCAAAATTTTCAGGGCTTCGCCTTGATACAAGCAGTTTTCATGTTCCGACGTGCAGAGCAGGAAACATAGCTATGAGTTGTTATTGAGTAAATTGAGTGCTAGTGACAAAAGACAAAGCTGGAGATGTGATGAGAGGACTGGGGGAGTTTGTGTCGCGGTTATTTGTGTCGTTGTTGTTGTCGGCTGTTGTGAGTAGCAGTGGTTCTGTGTTACACAAGAAGCTTCCTTGGCGAAATGGATGACAAATATTGAAACACAACAAGTTCTTTCATGAGTTCACAAAGTCAGCGAAAAAAAGCTCCCAAAAAGAATTTCAAAAAAAAATTGTTCCCCTGTTCGAAAAACCTTAAGTTTATCAATCTTGTTTTATAGACTTTCAGGCTCTCTCGGAACATTCAGTGATTCGCTCGATTTGAACATTTTTTATTTATTTGAAACTTTCTGACGTTTTTGGGCTAAAAACTAAAAATGAGAACTTAAAAACTAATCGCACGTAATCCTAAAACACATAAAAAAAGTTGCACATAATCCATTTTTCTAAGTTGCAAGTTCAGATTACTAGAATAAAAACTTTAACTAAATAACTGATCCATCTTTGTTGGCTTCACAAAATTATGCCAATTTATTTAATAATTTTTTTTTGGTAGCCAATTATCAAAATTATTGCGGATCGTTTCAGAAAAAATTTAAGTAAATATTCTCACATCAATTTTGAAAAACTTCGGTAGGGTTTTTTGAGCGTGTCAAAAATTTTCGGCGTCAATTTTTAAGGTGTTTAATGAAAAAAAATTTTTTACAAAATGTTACCAATAATATACATCTATAAAGTATCAGCCCCGATTGCAATAGTTGTAATAGTAGCATTAGTTGCAGTAGTCATGAGTAGCGATAGCCAAAAAAAACGCAAACATCCCTTTAGTGGTCTGAACTAAATTAAATCAGACTTGAAAGAGCGATTTGTATGCGCAAAAAAAAGAGTAGGAGCCATTTTTATGTAATGATGCAAGTAGTTTTGTTTATTTGGCAAAAACATATGTTTGACATTTAAAACTCTAACCCGTGTTGACCTCCTTACAAAAAAATGTGAATCGTATAACTCCAAAGAGAACAAAAAGCTTGCCATACAATCACTTTTATGGAAACAAAAAGGCGTATCAGCAATTTCCATTTATGAAACGACTATGATAAGCATTCTTTCACAAACGTTTCTGTAAGAAATCCTTGCAAAAAGATTGTTAATTAATTTTAAATTAGCTGACATTGATTTAAAAAAAAACAATTAAAAAGTTTTTTTGGAATCGTTCGACAAAAATGATTTACAAAATACATTAAATTGGGCAATCCCAAAGTGCAAGTTGGATTAACAGAACTAATCGAGTTTGACTGCCAGATTTTATAATATTTTAAAACTGTTGAAGCATCAAACATAAGACTAAGAAATTCAGAGTAAAAATTTTGTTACAACTAAAAAGTTTTGGTAATGCCACCCACTTTCTTTAGTTTCTGAATTTCTAAAAAGAAGACAAACAATCTGAGTTTTCGAGCTTCTTTAGAGAATGAAACTTGACATTTTTATTTTTGCATGTTGT